GCTGGCAACTTCGGGGCTCAGCACCCCCTCCTACCCCTTGGGGTCCACCTCGGCCCAGTTCGACATGCCCGCCTCCCTCAGATGAGTGGTCCCACCGCGCTGCTCACCCGGGTCAGCCAGCTCGTGCGCGGCCTGGCAGGGCAGAAGTCACAGCTATACCTCAGCTCCCCGCACGCCACAACCGCTCCCAGTGCTCTCCACGCCGCCTCTGACTGACAGCCCAATGGCGCAGGCGCGCGATGGCCGAGAAACTCGATGGAACGCTCTGAGCAGACCCACGTAGAAGGGACGAGCGCCGAGCGATGGATGACGGAGGGGACGCAATCGCCGCAGAGAGGAGGGGGCGGGGCCGGAGGGGGCGGGGCCACCGAGGAGCATTCGACACTTGTCCCACATTACCAACGCCTTTTGAGTATTCCAGCGCAGGGTTCCAGGAACCCAGACGGAGCAACTCAGCCTTTTTCCTCAGGGAGTAAGTCTAGGACTTGGCTCCGAGTACATTCAGTGAAAGAAAGCTCATTGGGATCCGTAATTTTGGCCAGCTAGTGAAAAAAAATCACCGAATGCTCCTGCAGGGGTTGCCAGGGCTTCCTATTTGTGAGACGTATAACAAGGCCACTCACATTAACTTTAGTCATCAAAACTGGGGGCGGCTGGGCATGGTGGCTCATGCCTGTAATCTCCGCAATTTGGGAAGCCGAGGTGAGAGGACTGCTTGAAACCGGGAGTTCAAGACCAGCCTGTGCGAGAGAGACTCCAGTCTCTAAAAAATTAAAAATTAGCTGGGTAGTGTGTGCCTGTAGTCCCCGCTGCTCGGGAGGCTGAGGTGGGAGAATCGCTTGAGCCCAGGAGTTCGAGGCTGCAGGGAACTATGATCGGGCCACTGCACTCCTCCTGCCTAGATGACAGAGACAGACGCTGGTTTTTTTGTTTGTTTGTTTGTTTAATTTAGTTTTTATTTCATAATCATAAACTGAACTCTGCAATCCAGTTAGGCATGGAAAGGAACAAGGAAAACGTGAAACCCAAAGGGAACTGCAGCGAGAGCACAAAGATAAGATACTGCGAGCAGGCCGGGTGTGGTGGCTCACGTCTGTAATCCTAGCACTTTGGGAGGCCGAGGTGGGCGGATTGCCTGAGCTCAGGAGTTCAAGATCAGCCTGGGCAACATGATGAAACCCCATCTCCACTAAAAAAAAAAAAAAAAAATTAGCCAGGCGTGGCAGCATGCGCCTGTAGTCCCAGCAACTCGGGAGGCCGAGGAGAGAGAATTGCTTGAACCCGGGAGGTGGAGGTTACAGTGAACCGAGATCGTGCCACTGCACTCCAGCCTGGGAAAGGGCGACAGGGCGAAACTCCGTCTCAAAAAAAAAATACTGCAAGCAAATGAGGTGAAGGGGGTGCTCTCCTGAGCTACAAAAGGAATGGTCTAGCGGTTAAGATAAAACACAAGCCAAACTTGTTAGAGTTGTCCACAGTCAGCAATGGTGATCTTCTTGCTGGTCTTGCCATTCCCGGACCCAAAGTGCCCCATGGCCTCCACAATATTCATGTCTTCTTTCACCTTGCCAAAGACCCCATGCTTGCCATCCAATCACTCAGTCTCGGCAGTTGAAAAACTGGGAACTGTTTGTGTTGGGTCCAGCATTTGCCATGGACAAGATGCCAGAAGCTGTATGCTTTAGGACGAAGCTCTAGTCATCAAATTTCTCCCCGTAGGTAGACTTGCCACCAGTACCATTATTTTGGCGTGTGAGGTCACAACCCTGACACATAAACCCTGAAATAATTCTGTGAAAGCAGGAACATTTATAACCACATCTTTTCTCTACATTGCTCAGAGCACGAAAGTTTTCTGCTGTCTTTGGAACCTTGTCTGCAAATGGCTGGAAGGAGACACGGCCCAAGGGCTTGCCGTGGGCGATGTGGAACACGGTGGGGTTAACCATGGCTGATAGTACAGAGCTCGCGGCGGCGGCTGCTTCTGCAAAGCCAAGACCCTGTTTTTAACAAAACAGTAATTGGCCAGGTGCAGTGGCTCAGGTTTATAATCCCAGCACTTTGGGAAGCCAGGAGGATGGATCCCTTGGGCCCAGGAGTTCGAGACCAGCCTGGGCAACATAGTGAAACACCCTCTCTACTAAAAATACAAAAATTAGCCAGGTGTGGTGGCACATTGTGGGGTCCCAGCTACTTGGAAGGCAGGAGGATCTCTGGATCCCAAGAGGCAGAGGTAGCAGTGAGCCAAGATGGTATCACTGCACTTCAACCTGGGTAACAAAGAGATGGGATCTCTAAGTAAATGAAATAAATATTAAAAAATGACGAATAGATAATAAAATAATTGCTGTTCTAAGCTCTATGTTTTGGAGTGGTTTATCAAGTTGCACTAGATAACAGGACCAATGGCCATTCTCTTTTTCCCATGCATTCCTGCAATTTCATAAATTTTTTTTGAGACGGAGTCTTACTCTGTCACCAGGCTGAAGTTCAGAGGCACAATCTCGGCTCACTGCAACCTCTGCCTCCTGGGTTCAAGCTATTCTCCTGCCTCAGCCTCCCGAGTAGCTGGGACTACAGGCGTGTGGCACCACGCCTGGGTAATTTTTGTATTTTTAGTAGGGATGGGGTTTCGTCAGATTGGCCAGGATGGTCTTGAACTCCTGACCTAGTGATCTGCCTGCCTCGGCCTCCCAAAGTGGTAGGATTACAGGCGTGAGCCACTGTGCCAGATCTGATTCATCTCTTAAATCTTGAGTTGCTTTACCTCCCTGCCAGCTAAAAGGTAGAGTATGATTTCTGTAATAAAAATAAAGGAGCTTGACTTCATTCAACAATATTTATTCATTTATTTTTAGAAATGAGGTCAGCTTATGCTGCCCAGGCTGGACTCAAACTCCGGGGTTCAATGATCCTCTTGCCTCAGCTTCCCAAGTAGCTAGGACTATAGGTATGTGCCATGGAGGAATGACTTCAACAATATCTATTGAGTGCCTAATATATGCCAAGCAGTGTCTTAGATGCTTGGTGTTGCAGATACAGCAGTCAGTGATTATTAGGACTTGTCGTTTTTTCCAGAAGGAGTTCTGCTTAGACCCTGAGAAAAAAAAAAAAAAGGGACTCATATCCTAAAACCAGCCTATCTTTGCCTTGCCATGAACTGATTGATCTGGCCACAGGAGGCCTGAAGTCTGACTACCCCTCTATGGAAACATAGAGATATTCTCTCTTTGGTATTACCTCAACCAAGCTTTGGAAATTACAGCATGGTTTTGAGGTAAGAACTAATTATAAATAAGAAATTATAAGAACAGCCGGGCGCGGTGGCTCAAGCCTGTAATCCCAGCACTTTGGGAGGCCGAGGCGGGCGGATCACAAGGTCAGGAGATCGAGACCACAGTGAAACCCCGTCTCTACTAAAAATACAAAAAATTAGCCGGGCGCGGTTGTGGGCGCCTGTAGTCCCAGCTACTCGGGAGGCTGAGGCAGGAGAATGGCGGGAACCCGGGAGGCGGAGCTTGCAGTGAGCCGAGATCGCGCCACTGCACTCCAGCCTGGGCAACAGCGTGAGACTCCGTCTCAAAAAAAAAAAAAAAAAAAAAAAAAAAAGAAATTATAAGAACAGCAGTCAGCCCCGTATCTGCCATCCGTTTCATATCCTTATGTTTAAACTAGCGAATGTTTTTCAAGGAACTAGAGGGCTTTCTCTTCTATTGTGGAAAGTAGTTGAGAGATTGCTTCAATTTAAACTCACTTTAAATTATTCCCTGAGGGCAATAATTCTCAAATTTTTTCATCTCTGGACTCTTTATACTTAAAAATTACTGAGGACCCCAGAAAGCTTTTGTTTATATGGATTGTATTTATCAATATTTACCATATCAAAAATTCTTTTTTTTTTTTTTGAGACAGAGTTTCGCTCTTGTTGCCCAGGCTGGAGTGCAACTGCACGATCTCAGTTCACTGAGACCTCTGCCCCCTGGGTTCAAGTGATTCTCCTGTCTCAGCCTCCAAGTAACTGGAATTTACAGGCATGCGCCACCACGCCCAGCTGATTTTGTCTTTGTAGTAGAGAGTCAGGCTAGTCTCAAACTCCTGACCTCAGGTGATCTGCCTGCCTTGACCTCCCAAGTGCTGGGATTACATGCGTGAGCCATTGTGCCAGGCCAACTACATTTTCAAAACAAAAAGTTTAGTGAGATGAATGCCATTGTTTCACCTTTTTGAAGTCTCTTTAGTGACTGGCTTAACAGAAAACAGCTTGATTTTTCCATTACTGTGATATATTATTTTGGTTTAATTTTATCATAAAAATGTGACTTCACATAGATACGTAGTTGGTAAGAGAGCTTTTAATAACCTTTTCAGATAATTTTAGATATTCTTTCATACTATACCAAAATTCAACAAGTGGTAGTTTGTTAAAGGTTTGTTGCAATGTAGAATCGGAAATTATATCAATGAACATTTTGTACTTTGTTACAATACTTGCACTTTGAATGGACATTTTCCCCATGCATGACCTTGCAACTTGGTATACTAATAATATGTAAAATATTGGTTCACAGAGTTACGCAGATGTTCCTAACACTGACTCATTATACAATATTTTAAAATCACATTTGTTAATATTACTAACAATCTCATCAGAAAAATTCTTAAATATTGGAAAGCTGGGAAGCTGATGATGACAGATACAAGTTTTATAAAATTCTAATTTTTGGCCAGGCGTGGTGGTTCAAGCCTGTACTCCCAGCACTTTGGGAGGCCGAGGCAGGTGGATCACGAGGTCAGGAGATCGAGACCATCCTGGCTAACACAGTGAAACCCCATCTCCACTAAAAATACAAAATTAGCTGGACATGGTGGCGGGCGCCTATAGTCCCAGCTACTTGGGAGCCTGAGTCAGAAGAATGGCATGAACCTGGGAAGCGGAGCTTACAGTGAGCTGAGATTGCGCAACTGCACTCCAGCCTGGGTGACAGAGCAAGACTCCATCTCAAAAACAAAACAAAACAAAAAAACAACAAAAAACAAATAAACAATTCTAATTTTCTCTTCAAAGCTCAAATATTATCATTGGCAGCAAATACTGTTAGTGGTTTCCCTTGAAGTAGCTGGCTCACTTTGTTTATACATTGGCAGGCATAGTTGGTCAGTTGTTCTTCTTTCTTTTTTTTTTTTTAAATGAAAAACCGTAATATGCCCTTCATTTGCTTTTAGCTATTTCATAAACACCACAAACTGGACACAGTTTGCGATGAAACTTAGAAAAAATTCTTTTTCCATAACATAAACATGTCAATCTTTCCCTTTAGCTCCTTCTTCCACTCTCCCGCCACTGTGCTGAAGAGGTATTAAGTTCTTCCAGATTTTTGCTTAACTGGGTGGCTTCCAAACTCAATGGACTCTCCAGGTAGGTAATTCCTGCACAGGGCTTTCCTGTCACTGGATCTATGATTTTTCCAACTTTGAAAACAATCTCAGCCAGTTCATGTTTCACATGCTTTGTTTGTGGAACAGGTAAAGCTCTGAGAAGCACAATATCCCCAACTGTGCACTGCTGAAGGGCATCACGAGCAAAGTAGGTTTTCCGCTTATTATAATACTCTAACAAATAGGCATCCAGAACAAGCCTGGTCACTCTCACTTTAGCAGTCTTTTGCACTTTTGTCCTAATCACCTTCTCCACCATCCATTTGGCATGGATGGATGCATGAACTACGGACATTATGTGGCTTTGGTCACCTCCGCCATGACTGTGCAGCCACCTCCACTTGTTCTTTCGATTAAATATAGTGCTCCATGAAAAAGCAGTAGTTCAACTTGCAGCTCAAACTATCACAAAACTGTTTCTGTTGGAGACAACAATCATACTTCTTTTGTATGCACAGAAGGCTAAATGTGTACTTCCCACCTCATTATACAGAGTATTAAAAAGACACGTACTCAGTAAACTAGGATATTTGGTAGCCAAAAAAAAGAGAGAGAGAGACATGGGCTGGGCATGGTAGCTCACGCCTGTAATCCCAGCACTTTGGGAGGCCGAGGCGGGTGGATCACGAGGTCAGGAGTTCAAGACCAGCCTGGCCAATATAGTGGAACCCTGTCTCTACTAAAAATACAAAAATTAGCTGGGCGTGGTGGCGTGTGCCTGTATTCCCAGTTATTTGGGAGGCTGAGGCAGGAGAATCACTTGAACCCGGGAGGTGGAGGTCTCAGTGAGCTGAGATCGTGCCACTGCACTCCAACTTGGGCAACAGAGTGAGATTTCATCTCAAAAAAAAAAAAAAAAAAAAAAGACATGTACTCAGGCCAATGTTTAATAAAATTAATATAGCTTACTGCTTAATCAAAGACTTTCTTAAGTGTAAGTGACTTTGTTTAATTTTTTTTCTTTTTTCTTTTTTTTTTTTCTTTTGAGACGGAGTCTCACTCTTTCGCCCAGGCTGGACGGAGTGCAGTGGCGCGATCTCGGCTCACTGCAAGCTCTGCCTCCCAGGTTCACGCCATTCTCCTGCCTCAGCCTCCCTAGTAGCTGGGATTACAGGCATGCACCACCCTGCTAATTTTTGTATTTTTAGTGGAGATGGGGCTTCACCACATTGGCCAGGCTGGTGTCAAACTCCTGACCTTAAGTGATCTATTCGTCTCGGCCTCCCAAAGTGCTGGGATTACAGGTGTGAGCCACTGTGCCTGGCCAATTTTTTTTTTCTTTAAGACAGGGTCTCACTCTGTTGACCAGGCTAGAGTAGAGTGGCATGATCTTGGCACCTCTGCCTCCTTGGCTCAAGGGATCCTCCCACCTCAGCCTCCCAAAGTGCTAGGATTACAGGGGTAAGCCACTGTGCCTGGCCTTAATGTTTATTCTTACTTTTATTGCAAGTGTATGGGACTAAAAAATAAAATGACTATTGTACAGTTTGGTGCCAATGCTTCGATTCATGCTCAGTAAAGCACCAGAAGTTTTACCCACCATTGCTTTGGCACCATCAATGCAAATATCAATACGATGAAAAACGTAAATATATTTTAATATTATTATGAAAATAGTTCTGACCTGACAGATCCCCTGAAAGGGTCTTAGGGATTCTCAGAAACCCATGGAGCACATTTGAAAAACTACTGCCTTATGGATTCCTCCTGGCTCTTACTGCTTCTAGGACTTACATTATGGCACTCACCATAAAGGACTGTCATCCTCTTTTCCATGTCTTTATCACACTAGGAGCGCCTTGCATAGAACCTGGGACATGCTCAGTGAATAATATTGGATGAATTGAAATCTTACGATTTTCCCTTGACATCCCATTTGGTGGTGGGAAAACTGGGCTGAGAGCCAGGTTGCTGACAGCATCTCTTCTTCTGAACTTTCCTCCTCACTGTCAATTCATATTATTATCCATGCCTAGCCCCATGCTTATTTATTATTATTATTTATTAAGTACACAGGTGATACTTAATAAATGCTTATTAAATACAGGGTATTCCCTGAAATGTTTGTTTCATCTTGACCTCAATTATCCTCATTTCTTCCCTAAGGGATATTTGTGTGTATATATGTGTGTGTGTGTTTGTGTGTTCATATGTGGTGGGGGAATAACTTAACAAGGGCAAGCTCTCTAAACTGTGGAAGACAAAAGAAACCTTTCAAAATTTGGGCCTTGGCTCACAAACTCTCTTCCCACGGTCTGCTAGAGATCTCGCTGGGAATTTGCTGGCCACCTCACAATATCCATCTACTCCATTTGGCCAGAGACTTGTCAGTGGGGCGGGGAATTATTGTTTTTAGAGTAGTGAATGAAAGATAAAAATGAAAAAAGAAATTCCACTTTGGCAAACAATTGCAGGTCCTAAAATATTTGCATTTTGTTGATTGATTGAGACAGGGTCTTGCTCTGTCACCCAGGCTGAAGCGCAGTGGCACGATCACAGCTCACTGCAGCCTTGACCTGCTGAGCTTAAGTGATCTTCCCACCTCAGCCGCCAGAGTAGCTGTGACTACAGGTGCCTGCCACCATGCCTCATTAATTAAAATTTTTGTTTTTAGTAGAGACAAGTTCTGACTATGTTGCCAAGGCTGGTCTTGAACTCCTGGGCTCAAGATATTCCCCCGCTTCAGCCTCCTAAAGAACTAGGATTACAGGCGTGACCACTGTACCCAGCCTTGTGCTGTAGTTTTGTACATAAGCCCAGTAATTGCCCAATAGATCCATGATAAGTTAGAGATAAAATGATGCTACAGTATTTAACAAAAGGAACTTGGAAACAGTTTTCATTAATTAGAACTTTAGTATTTCTTTTCAAGCACACAGAATTTTCTTCATTGGTGGTTTTAAAGGTCAGAATCTGGGCATTCATGTTCTAAAATGGTGAGTAACTTTTAAAAAATAAGTGATTTAATCAATTTGGTGATTTTTTTCCCCTTTATGGAAAACGACTTTTCAACTGGCTGATTTTTCCCTTGTTTTTAAATTGGAGCCTAGCACAGTGGCTCACACCTGAAATCCCAGCACTTCAGGAGGCCGAGGTCAGAGGATGGCTTAAGTCCAGGAGATTGAGGTTGCAGTGAGCCAAGATGGTGCCACTGCACTCTAGCCTGGGCAGTAGAATGAGACCTTTCCTCAACAAGCAAACAAATAAACAAGCAAAACCCAAAAACCATAACACTAAAAAAGAATTACCTTATGATCCAGCAATACCACATCTGGGTATATATCCAAAGAAATTGAAATCAGAATGTTGAAGAGATATCTGCACTCCCATGTTCATTTCAGCATTATTCACAATAGCCAAAATAAGGAAGTAACCTCAGTGTGTATCAGTAGATAAACAGTACACACACACACACACATCCACACACACATACATACACACATACACAGGAATATTATACAGCCTTTAAAAAGAAATATCTTCTGTCATTCATAACAGCATGGGTGGAACTGGAGAACATTATGCTAAGTGAAATAAGCCAGGCACACACACACACACAAAAACAAAAAACACTGTATGATCTCACTTATATGTGAAATCTAAAAAAAAAGTTCATTTTGGCCCAGAACCTGGGAGGTGGAGGTTGCGGTGAGTGGAGATCGTGCCATTGCACTCCAGCCTGGGCAACAAGAGTGAAACTCCATCTCAAAAAATAAGTAAATAAATTTAAAGGTGGAATCTGAGGCACAGGAAGGTTAAGCAACTTGCCCATGGTCAATAGCTAGTATGTGGCATAGCCAGAATATGGATATAGTCAAGCTGACTCCAAAGAATGTGCTCTTAACTAGTACACAACAGTATATTGCCTCCCCATGGTATATATCCAATATAGGTTTTCCATAAAGAAAAAATTTTGAGCTCATAAACATGTTGAGGTCTAAAAATCAAAACAATTGAACCCATAGAGATAGAGAAGGATGGTTACCAGAGGCTGGGAAGGGGAGTGGGGGGATTAGGGGGAGATAAAGATGGTTAACGAGTACAAAAAAAGAGTCTGAATGAGTAATGCCTTGTGTCTGACAGCACAACAGGTTGACTATAGTCAATAATAATTTAACTGCACACTTTAAAACAGCTAAAAGAGGCCAGGCATGGTGGTTCACATCTGTAATCCCAGCACTTCGGGAGGCTGAGGTGGGCGGATCGCCTGAGGTCAGGAGTTCAAGACCAGCCTGGCCAACATGGTGAAACCCCCATCTCTACTAAAAATACAAAAATTAGCCAGGCATGGTGGCTGGCACCTGTAGGCCCAGCTACTTGGGAGGCTGAGGTGGGATAATCGCTTGAACCCGGGAGGTGGAGGTTGTAGTGAGCCGAGATTGCACCACTGCACTCCAGCCTGCAGAGCAAGACTCTCTCAAAAAACCAAACCAAACCAAACCAACTAAAATGGTATAAACGGATTGTTTGCAACACAAAGGATAAATGCTTGAGGGGATGAATACCCCCATTTACCCTGATGTGACTATAACACATTGCATGCCTGTATCAAAACATCTCACGTACCCCATAAATATATAAACCTACTATGTACCCATAAAAATTAAAAATAAAAAATTATTGGCCAGGCATGGTGGCTCATGCCTGTAATCCTAGCACTTTGGGAGGCTGAGGCGGGCCGATTGCTTGAGCCCAGGAGTTCAAGACCAGCCTAGGCAACATGCTGAGACCCTGGCTCTACAAAAAAAAAAAAAAAGAAAGAAAAAAAAAAGTTGGCTGGGTGTGGTGGTGCATGCCTGTAGTCTCAGCTACTTGGGAGGCTGAGGTGGGAGGATCGCCTGGCCTGGAGGTGGAGGTTGCAGTGAGCCAAGCTTATGCCACTATAGTCCAGCCTGGGGGACAGAGTGACCCTGTCTAAAATAAAATCATAACAAAAATAAATAAATAAAAAAATCTGGCTGGGCGAAGTGGCTCATGCCCCTAATCCCAGCACTTACTTTTTTTTTTTTTTTTTTTGAGACGGAATCTTGCTCTGTTCCCCCAAGCTGGAGTGCAGTGGCGCGATCTTGGCTCACTGCAAGCTCTGCCTCCCGGGTTCATGCCATTCTCCTGCCTCAGCCTCCTGAGTAGCTGGGACTACAGGCGCCCGCCACCTCGCCCGGCTTATTTTTTGTATTTTTAGTAGAAACGGGGTTTCACCGTGGTCTCGATCTCCTGACCTTGTGATCCGCCCGCCTCGGCCTCCCAAAGTGCTGGGATTACAGGCGTGAGCCACCGCGCCCAGCCTATAATCCCAGCACTTTGGGAGGCCGAGGCGAGCTGATCACCTGAGGTCGGGAGTTCCAGACCAGCCTGACCAATGTGGGGAAACCCCGTCTCTACTAAAAATACAAAATTAGCCAGGCATGGTGGCACATGCCTATAATCCTAGCTACTAAGGAGGCTGAGGCAGGAAAATTGCTTGAACCCAGCAGGCAGAGGTTGTGATGAGCAGAGATTGTGCCATGGCACTCCAGCCTGGGCAACAACAGCGAAACTCCATCTCAAAAAAAAAATTATGGCCGGGCGCGGTGGCTCAAGCCTGTAATCCCAGCACTTTGGGAG